TTATATATATATATATATATATATATATATATATATATATATATATATATAAAGAGGGTGGAGAGAGAGAGAGAGAGAGAGAGAGAGAGAGAGAGAGAGAGAGAGAGAGAGAGAGAGAGAGAGAGAGAGAGAGAGAGAATGAGGGATAATGAGAAGGAGAGAGGGGAGAGAGTTGTTTCCAAGTATTCATTTAATTGCTTCCGGCTCTGTCGTTTTTTAATTAAAGTAAGGATTGCTTTGAACAGACTTACTTAAACTTAACTGGGATAGGGTGGTTCAAGCTGTGCATCGGCTACAAGCCTCAGGTACATTCCTAGCATCCATAATGAACATTGGCAGGGGGAAGTCTGGGCTAGGCAACACAACAACACGATTTTACACACACACACACACACACACACACGCACGCACGCACGCGCGCACACACACATTGTAGCACAGCAGTCCCCATCTCCAGGTAATTAGCTTTCATTATTCTGACGTCTTCGTCTGTGCTGTACACGTGCTTTTGCATTTATTCACCGTCTTCACCCTCCCCTTACCCCCTCCCAATTTTCCTTCCTTTCCCATTGATGAGCTAGACGTTGTGAGTGCTTTCTGGGAGCGAGTGAACAGTACGGAAGCGCAAATAGGTCATTACGGTCTGAGGAGAATGGCTCTGCGAGGAGTTACCAGGGGATCTGGCCGACGCTCAACACTCAAGGGAAGACGAAAGTACAGTTAGACAGTTACTGGTGCCATCGGAGTTGGAACTCTTTATTTGCTGCTGAAGATGGGGATGGTCCAGGGTGCTATAATGTCGATTCTTAATTCTACATTCAGCATTCCTTCCTTTGATGTCCTCATGGTTACTCCCAGTTCTCTTCTTATGTCCAAACTCCCTTTCTTTCATTCTCCTTTCTATTTCTGTTGTTCTGCTGTCTTCTACTTGCAAGTTCTCTTTCTTTCATCATCATCATCCGGCGTCTGTGACTGAGGCGTTAAAAACTCGCCTCGTAATGCCTAGTTCGATCCCAGCTGTGGCCTTGCGTCTTCCGTTGGTTTCGACAGTGGTAGCGAGAAGCCGACTGTCTAGAAAGCAGTGGCAAAAATCCTAGACATAAATTTGCCTACAAAAACCACAACAGCTAAAAATGCTAGGGTTGGTTCTGGAATGTCCTGTAAAGGATACTCAGCTTTTTAAAATCATCATCATCACCATATTTTTCTTCTTCTTCTTCTTCTTCTTCTTCTTCTTCTTCTTCTTCTTCTTCTTCTTCTGCTGCTGCTGCTGCTGCTGCTGTTGCTGTCGCCGCTGCTGCTGCATTAGTTCTTTTTTTTCTTTATATTTGTCTCTCTCTTTTCCTCTTCCTCCACTCCACCGCCTCCTTCAGAGAGATCAAAAGCGCCCAGCCAGCTTGTGAGAACTCTTAACTAAGGTCTTCTTCATTGTTTGTTGGATTGTGTAGCTAAAGATTTCTAAATGATGAGAGCGCCAACTCACACCTATTCTGTTTAGTCAACTCAGATCAGACGCGCCGCAGCCAAGAAATCTTTGAGGTGACTCAGTCCCACGTTATAATTTTCTAGGGAGCAGAGGTCAAGGGCTTAAGCCATGTTTAAGTGTGCAGAAATAATAATGATAATACTAATAACAATTTTCTGAATGGCAAATAAATTTAAAAATGTATTTAAAATAATATTAAATGTATAAACAGATTCTTAATATAAAAAAATATAAGGAACGTCAATACACAGTAACGGGAATCACCTAGCCCCCTTGCAAATCGTATAGGGCTGGAAGCTCTGCCGCCCCCCTCCCCCAGTCCCCTCTGACAAAATTGGAAGGAGGTTCAAGATGCCCGAACTCCCCAGTTCAGGTATCTATGCCTTAGATGACATGAATGAGTGAATGAAGAATTGACGTCACTGCACTCAGGGCATTCCTATACATGCTCCAGCCCCTTCTGCAGGAGCCAATGAAGAGTTGATATGCTAATAGTACCGGTTGCAGCCTGATTAAACGATCGCCAGTGTTTCCCCCTCAATGTGTGTGTGTGTGTGGGGGGGGGGGGGGGGAGGGGGATAACTTCATATTGTCTTCAGGTCATGCAGGTGTGTTAAGAAATGAACAGGCAGATAGACTGGCTGGCTCTGCACCACTTGGTAGTGAATTGATGTATGACAAGTGAGATGTTGTGAGGACCCTTTAGGAGCGAGTTAACAGTGCGGTCTAAGGAGAATGGTGCAGCAAGGAGTTACCAGGGAATCTGGCCGACGCTCAACACTCAGGTGAAGAATGGGACGGATATACAGTCGGACGTTTACTGGTACCATCGGAATTGGAACTCTTCGCTAGCTGCTGAAGATGGGGACTGCTGTTATGTCGATTCCTTATTCAACGTTCAACATTTGTTGAAAAACTTCTAGAAGCTCTGATATCTCTCCCACCCCCCCCCCCCCACCCCTTTTCCATTGAATTAGTCAATTAGTCTTTCAGTAGGGATTTTCTGTCTGTTTTATTGCACTGTCCATTGGATCGCAGAGAGCCTTCACAGTGTGCACTTTGGATGACATGAATGCTTTGCTACATTATTATTGTACTTTACTTTTATTATGAACCTTCTCTGTCTCTGTCTCTCTCACAAGTAAAGCTTTCTTCTTCCTGTCTCCCCCTTATGATACCTCCATCCCTTTTTTTCATTCTTTCTTACTTATTTTCTTTCCTTCTTTTAATCCTTGACTCTCAACCATTTTGTTTCTCTGCGTCTTCACCCCCCCCCCCCCCCCCCCCCCCCCCCCCCCCCCCCCCTTCCAACACCTCTTTTCCTAACTGCAATTAGCAAGTTCTTAACTATCCTATTTTTGTATTCGCACTTCTCTAAATAACACATCCTGCTTTTACTGGTATTTTACCTTTTCTGTCACTTCCTGTTCTTTCATGTTGTTGGCTCATCGTTTACTTTCTCTGTTTCTTCTTCTATTTCCTTTCAGATCGTCACTCTTTTATAAACCCAAGCAACGGCCATTCCCTTCTTCCATTTAATCTCCTGGATGTGTGTGAGATGACCTCGAAATATCCACTTGTGATCAACTGTTGTCTAAAGAATCCGAATCTTGCCTTGCATTGAGGTGGTAGGCACTTTGGCTTCTGTCTCATGTAGGGAGATTTGGTGCAGAAGGACATGTGTAAAAACAGAAGAGGTAGAGAATGACGGGTGAAGATAGCAGAGGTCTGCACCAAACATGATAACAGAAGTGGTAAACATGACATGTGTGAGGATAAGAGTGGTGTGGCATGAAGATAGCAGCAGTGTTGCAAGACAAGGCGGACAGGAGTGGTGCATGACACGTGATCAAAGGAGTGTTGAAGCATAGCATGTGAAGGAGTGATGCAACATGACACACAAAGACAGGAGTGGGGCAGGTGACATGTGGAGATGAGAATGGTGCAAATGACATATGAAGACAGGAGTGGTGTAATGTGCCTATGTGCAAATGTGAGTCGCACAAATGGTTTAAAGACAGGAGTAGTGCTGCTTGATGTGGGAAGATAGAAGTTGTGCAGAAATAACATGTATGAAGACAGGAGTTGTGCAGCATGACATGTTTGAAAACAGAAATGGTGCAGCCAGAGGCATATAAGGGTCGTGCGAGGGGTGTGGGCTGCACCGGCTGTCATCACTGAAGGAGGTGGCAAAATAGCATATATATATATATATATATATATATATATATATATATATATATATATATATATATATATATATATATATATATATATATATATATATATATATATATATATATATATATATATATATATATATATATATATATATATATATATATATATTTTTTTTTTTTTTTTTAAACATAAAAATATGTGTGTGGGTGTCTATTGGTTTGTGGTTGGGGCGGTGGTGGTGGTTGTGACAAGGCCTTTTTTGCACTGGGTACCCACCTGACTTGGCAATGCCACTGGAGGTGACATGAAATGTTCCGCACTGGGTACCACCTGACCTGGCAATGCCACTAAGGGTGAATTGAAATTTTCTGCACTGGGTACCACCTGACCTGGCAATGCCACTAAGGGTGAATTGAAATTTTCTGCACTGGGTACCACCTGACCTGGCAATGCCACTAAGGGTGAATTGAAGTTTTCCGCACTGGGTACCACCTGACCTTGCAGTGAATTGAAATTTTCCGCACTGGGTACCACCTGACCTTGCAGTGAATTGAAATTTTCCGCACTGGGTACCACTGGACCTGGCAGTACCACTAAAGGTGAAAAGACATTTTTGGCACTGGGTATCACCTGACATTACAATGCCACTGGAGGTGACATAACATTTTTTGCACTGGCTATCACATGACATTGCAATGCCGCTGGAACTGACATGACATTATTTTCACTGGACCTGGCAGTGCCACATTAGGTGACTTGACATTTTCCACACCGGGCACCACCTGAACTTGCTACACCACAACGTGAGATTGAAATGGTTCAACATGACATACGTAAAGGCAGGAGAGGTGCAGTATACACTGTAATATATATGAAGTGGTTTGATGTAATATGACACACAAGTTAGTACCCATGAGGTACAAAGTCTGCTGAAATTGGCTGTGTTGAGCAGATAGCGAAGACTAGCTGTAAACCAAAACACAGCATTCCAGCCATCCTTTTAAAGGGGAACTGCCAATAACCGCCTTAGGTATACCACTTTTTCGGTTTAGGCAGGAAGGTCTTTGAGCCTGAGGATTTACAGCCGCATGGCTAGTACTGTCGCCTTGACTGTGCAGGTGAGGATTTTATTTTGCCCCGACATAAAAAAATCCCCAGCCTTACAGAGGATTTGAACTTGGGTCTCCCGCTTGAGAGCCCAGCATTCCAACTGTTCGGCCAGCTGCTCCTCTTAAAGGGCAACACAGAAATAGAAAAAGAATGCAACTGATACATTGAAGCCCATGTATTATGTCTTCGCTGAACTGATATATCTTTTATTATTGTGTTGCAGGTTTGAGGTTTTTGAGAGCACTGAGACTGATGTCCATCCCAGACATCTTGACCTATTTGAATGTACTGAGGACAAGCACCATCATACGACTGGTTCAGCTGGTGGTGTCTTTTGTTTCACTGTGGCTGACAGCGGCTGGATTCTTGCACCTGGTTTGTCTTGTTTATTGTGTTTTTGTGCTGTGAACTTTCTATGTATCTGTGTGTATATATTTTTTTATCTATATATGTAAATATGTGTATGTGTGATTGAATGAGCAAGGTAAGGAGAGAGAAAAGGAGTGAGTGATGAGTCAGGGAGGGAGTGAATCAATGCATTTTTTTTTGTTAATATTTTTTTTCACTCTGTTGTTGTTGAGAAAATGTGAAAAGGGTTACCTCTCCTTGAATATGACGGAAGTAATGGAAACAGCAAAGAAACAGACACTGCCTAAATGTGCAATAAAAGTTGGTGATAATAATTTGGAACATAATTTCAAGTATTTGGACACAAAACTTACATCAGATGGAAAATGAAGCACAGAGATAAGAACAGATTTAGACAAGTTAAAAAATGGATTGTATTCATTTAAGAAGAACCTGTGGCAGCAGTGTTGCCACTTTGGATCTTTTATATCTAAATTTAGATCTTTTTCATTGCATTTAGATACTGTTTTTGACGTTTAGATCGTAAATATTTTTCTAGAATCTTGGATATTAAATCGAATCAAAAATTGATGATTTAAAAACAAAAGGACTGTTAACAGAGAATGAAGAGAACAACTTAAGAAAACGCTGTCAAGATTTCCTTATCTCATTATTCAAGCAAATGAAGCAGAGACTTCCTGAAAATCTAGATGTTTTGAAAAATATTTCACTTTTTTTCTGTGAACAACATACTTCAGCCAATAAAGGACATACCTAAATATTGTAAAGTTATGAAATTTTTAGGGGCTACTGATAATAGTGTGGCGGAAGCAGAATATCAGTTAACAAAAATAAAGTTAGCTGAATGGACAAACAAAACAGAAACTAAAGCGTTTTGGAGTGAAGTGAGACAATTTAAAGATGCCTCATCAAACAGTCCATTCTGTAAGCTCTTTAAAATGCCATGTCTGCCATGATACTATCCCACTCAAATGCTGACGTAGAAAGAGTTTTCAGCGCTAGGAATTATATAAAATCTAACCTAAAATACAGGATGAAATAAGCCTACTGTTCCACTTATAAAGAAATTTGAACAGCTAAAGCATACCAGGGTCATTTTGGATCTGAAGCTTCAACTTCATTATCCAAGCTAAATTTATCCTGTGGATCTTGTGAGGCAGACATCAGTGAAGGTGAGGACATGATTATGTAGGGTAAGTCATAATAAAAGCTATGTAATTTTTGACTTTTTCAATTTGAATGTTTTTTCTAGATCTTTTCCACGCAGATTTAGATCTTTTTAGATATTTTTTGACACCGTTTTGGATATTTTTTCTCAAAGAAAAGTGGCAACACTGTGTGGCAGGTCCAGAAAACTGGCAGCAAATTTCATTGTTCACTACAACTTGTTCTAGAATGCTCAGAAATCAGAAAATCCATCAGAAGGAAAAATTGCCATTTAATGAGAATGAATCCAATGAATGCTAGCAACAAGAGTTTACAATAGGAAAGTAGAAACACCAAGAGGTGAGGAATGACCAAGAAAAATATAGATTGAAAAAATCACTAATACCTTGAGACTCCACAGTATCACACATTACCTGGCACCTGGGCGTGCCCTAGCTTGGAAGCTGATCATCTGTTAACATGCATTACCTAGCAGCACAGAGCAGAAACAAAAAACTGCATTTAAAAAAAGGAATAATAAATGATATATATATATATATTCAGATGTTATGTTAGTCTCAGTGTATGTCCTATCCAGCACCAGCATCTGTACCTCACTTCTGAGTTCATTCAAATTAGTTTATCCCTTTCCATGAGCTCCATGTCTTGGTATTTTTACAAACCTGCATTTGAAACTATAATTTCATCTTCTATTGGGACAAGTAATAAACTGGCTTCTGCCACTACTCTGGGTAATGAGCCACTTCATGAAAAAGCGGATGTGGAGAAGGGCTGTCTTAGATCAAGTAGACAGTTCAGCAGAACCTAGTACCCATTCCTCAAAAGACTTGATTCAGCAAGGACTAAGCAGGGGCTCTGAACTTTTCAGCCCTGAGGACTTTTCATCATTTTGCAGCTGCCACAGTTAGAATAGAAACTCTTTGTTGGCTAATGAGCAAGTAGACAGAGCACTTGTGGGAATGCCTCAAGTGCAGAGATGACAGTTTTTCTGTGAAGTCAGTTTTTCTGTGATGTCAGTTCTTTATTCTTTCATTCATCTATTCCTTCACTTAAATCAAAATAAAAGGATGAATAAAATTTATGAGTTATATCAACAGAAAAAGGTTAAATAGGAAAAGTATTCTTAGTGGAGAAAAAAAAAAACAACCCTAGGCAACAGTTGCAGAGAAAGGTAGAAAAAGTTGTATGTAGTATTCTTACATGGAAAAACCCTAGGCAACAGTCGCAAGGAAGGTAGAAAAAGTTGTGTGTAGTATTCTTACATGAAAAAACCCTAGGCAACAGTGGCAGAGAAAGGTAGAAAAAGTTGTATGTAGTATTCTTATGTAGAAAAATCCTAGCAACAGTGGCAGAGAAATATAAAAACAGTTGTATGTAGTATTCTTATGTAGAAAAACCCTAGCAACAGTGGCAGAGAAATATAGAAAAAGTTGTTTGTAGTTTTCTTACATAAAAAAAACCCTAGGCAACAGTGGCAGAGGAACATAGAAAAAAGTTGTATGTAGTATTCTAATGTAGAAAAACTCTAGACAACAATGGCAGAGGAAGGTAGAAAAAATTGTATGTGACAATCTTAACTTTTTCAATCCCTGGCTGGGGTCACTTTAACTCATTATATCATACACTTATTACATACAGTAATACATGTTTTTACCTTGGATGCTGTTAAAATCATAACACTGAAGGAGAAACAAGGTAAAAGTACAAATCTGTCAGTCTGTAGCTCTCATTGCCTATCTCACTCTTTCACACACACACACTCTCTCTCTCTCTCTCTCTCTCTCTCTCACTTTCTTGTTGCCCCTCTCTCACTCTCACACAGTTCTCTCTCTAACTCTCTTTAACTCTCTCTCTCTCCTACTCTCTATCTTTCTTAGTCTTTCTCATCCTCTGTCATTCTCTAACTTGTGCTTTCACTCTGTCTCTCAGACATACACAGTCAGCAGCGGTGGGGAAAATCCTGACAAAAGCATTAAACATTTGACCAATGCAGTAATAATCAGATACACTAAACATGATCCTGACTTGGTTTACATTCTGTTGTTTGAAATGTTTCAGTCTGAAACAGGATATGTTAAAGGTGACTAACAATTTTTGGTTTCATTTTGATTTTACAGTTGGAGAACTCAGGCGATCCCTTTCATAATTTTGCAAATCCACATAATATGTCCTACTGGGAATGTCTGTACTTCCTCATGGTGACGATGTCCACTGTGGGCTTTGGAGACATATTTGCCACAACAGTTTTAGGAAGGACTTTTGTTGTCATATTCATCATGATTTTCATTGTAAGAATTTTAATTTGTTTCCCCCCTGATAAAATCTGTTTAGTAGCTGTGTGACATATGTGCTGTGAGAATGTTACCAAATATTACCAGTGATCCAGTTAAAAATTTGTTGCATATCTTTTATAAAGGCTCTCCTCTGAACTTCTATCCCGGCCAAAAAAATGCCCTAACAGGGCCTCAGTCCTATGAAAAATGCGGACTTGTCGGACTTTCTGCCGAGGAACAAATCGCAGCAAAACTAGGATTACCTGACAATTTAAAGAGACGCAACACTGCAGACAATAGTAGCGACCATTGACACTTTCGCATGTTTCTGCAGACGATGCTAGCAGACGATAAAAGCGATACGTTGGATTACCAGTCAAGACTCGCAACCCCTTGGCCACGGACGCCGCTTGTTAGATTTATTAGAATCTTTAAATTTTTTCCGGACAATAGTGTTTAATTGGGCTGTCAGGAGGCATAGGGAAACACAGCCCATGGATGGTGATTTTTTTTTTCATAGAACAAAGCCTGGACAGTTTTTAGAGACCATGTGTTGCCAAGGCATCATAATCTCTTTCTTTCTCTCTCTCTTTCTCTCTTGGCCTGCTTTGTTTATTATAAAAGAGAGGTTAAACCAAAATGTGTTTTGGGAGTCAGCGTCATTTTGGAGAGAAAAAAGTCTGGCTCTGCCAGGACGCGAACCCACGTCATTCCAATCCTCAGGCAGGGGTCTAGCCGCCAACGCCACGGCGACTCCCGATGGAGGAGATAGGTCACCATGTCAACCTCTGTATTATGGTGAAGATTAGGGCACCTTCCTATAACCTATACCTGTAGCCATTGTAATGCCCAATATAAAAGAGCCACTTCTGACGCACAGACACATTTAAATAATATAGGTAAACAATACGTTGCAGAGTTTAATTGCCAGGCAGAATTTACATCAAGGCACTGTATCACAAAATATGAATCCTTTTAACTGATACACATAACAGTGTCTCTTATCTTACTATTTATATCAGTCTTGCCCGGCTCTCGTAATTGACTAAACCGGATTGTGCGGTGACCGTGTGACGAACTCCTTGTGGTCGGGGTTCACTCCTGGGGGTAGGCAGAAAAGCCACATTTCTCACAGATTTACGGTATTTACAATGGAATCAAGGTCGAAAGGTTGCGATATCCATAATACCGAGCCTAAGGGTTAACAACTCATGGCTTCTGGATACTAAAACAAATAAACATATCAGTCCTAAGTTAACCCTGTGATCCATTTGGTAACATAAGAAAAGATTTGCCTGTCCTAATTGCCTAATTTTAATAAATTGCCTGTTCATGCTGCCTATGTTTAATGCTTCATCACTGTATGTTGATGTAATCTCTGTAGCAATCCACCTGATGAGATAAGAGTGAAATATGCCAGACTACAAATTGTGCAGTATTTTGCTTGAATCATCATTATTTAAATATACAGCATAAAGACATTGTTTTGAATGTAGCTGTTTGTGTCTATACATTTTTGAATGTAGATGTTTGTGTCTATAATGTTTTGAATGTAGATGTTTGTGTCTGTAATGTTTTGAATGTAGATGTTTGTATCTGTAATGTTTTGAAATGTAGGTGTTTGTGTCTATAATGTTTTGAATGTAGATGTTTGTGTCTAGAATGTTTTGAATGTAGATGTTTGTGTCTCTAAACATCTCATATGGATTATGTTTTTGCAGTCACTATGCTACCACCATCCTCCATGGAGACTTACAGGAATTAATAAGTAGAAAATCGCAACAAGAAAAATGTGATGTTTTAGCACAGCTGTTGGAACGAAAGAACGAACAAAAAGACTTTATTTTCAAAAGGTCACAAATTGGGCTCGCAGGCCTGTCTTACATTTGGCTCTTCAAAAAACCCATCTTTCACACAGCAGTTTCACTTCAGTGAATGGCCTTTTGCTTTTTCCTCCAGGGTTTATTTGCAAGTTTTATTCCTGAAATAGCAGATATTCTGGGAAAGCGGCAGAAATATGGAGGCTCGTACAGAAAGGAACGAGGCAAAAGGTATTTCAGTCATGTACTTACATTTTTTTTAAAAATTACTCATTCTTGCGCTTACGTTTTCTTTTTCTTTCTTTCTTTCATTTTTTTTTTTTTTTTTTGGGGTAGCAAATTTAGTCATGTGCTTACTTGGCTATAGGTATTTTAATCATGTATTAACTTTTGTATAGCCATTTCTGTCATGTGCTAATTTTGCTGTAGGTGTTTCAGTCAACTACTTGTTTATAGATATTTAAGTCCTGTGCTTACTTGGCTGTAGGTATTTCAGTCATGTGTTTACTTATGTGTAGGTGTTTCAGTCACCTACTAATTTATAGATATTTCAGTCATGTGCTTACTTGTATGTAGGTATTTCAGTCATGTGCTTACTTGTGTGTAGGTATTTCAGTCACCTACTGGTTTATAGATATTTGAGTCATGTGCTTACTTGTCTGTAGGTGTTTCAGTCACCTACTAATTTATAGATATTTCAGTCATGTGCTTACTTGTGTGTAGGTATTTCAGTCACCTATTGGTTTATATATATTTCAGTCATGTTCTTACTTGTGTGTAGGTATTTCAGTCACCTACTGGTTTATAGATATTTCAGTCATGTGCTTACTTGTGTGTAGGTATTTCAGTCACCTACTGGTTTATATATATTTCTGTCATGTGCTTACTTGTATGTAGGTATTTCAGTGCTTACTTGTGTGGAGGTATTTCAGTCACCTACTGGTTTATAGATATTTCAGTCATGTGCTTACTTGTGTGTAGGTATTTCAGGCACCTACTGGTTTATAGATATTTCAGTCATGTGCGTACTTGTGTGTAGATATTTCAGTCACCTACTTGCAACCAACCTCCATTGTAGAGATAGCACAAACATTTACTATCACGGGGAAGTGGGTGCACTTACCAGATGCAACCAAACTCCATTGTAGAGATAGCACAAGCATTCACTGTCGTGGAAAAGGCCGAACCGGACAGTGCCTGAAGAAGTTGGATTTGTCGGCCGAAAAGCACAAATATTGCAGCCAAACTGGCAGAACACAGTTACTGACACTACTGTATGTATTTACTGCTTTTTTAGGGCGGTGTAGACAGGGGGATTGTGAGCCTGAGGATTTAGAGCTGCGTGGCTAGTGCTATTGCCACAGACTGTGCAGGTTAGGATGTTTTTTTGTTGCCTCCACTGAAAAACGTCCATCAGTTTACAGGGGGTTGAACTCAGGTCTCCCATATCTGAGCTCGACATTATAACCATTCTGCCAGCCACTGCTTGACACAGTTATATTCATTAATAAATGAAGAAGATAAAGAATAGAAGGAAGTTTCAGGGTTATGATATGTATTATTTCCTTCTCTTGTGTTTGCATATGTAGTAAACAGTGTGATCTGAGTAAATAAAAGGTCCCTTTTCATACCTGTGGCCCATCAGGTATATGAGGCTAGGCATGTTTGTATAGACCAGTCTCACCTCAGAGGGTGATGTGGTCAACATCACGCAGGCCATCTTTACCTCTCAAAACATTACCTTGTGCCCATCTTAGGCTGGGTAAACCTGGGAAGCAAGGTAATTTTTGTGTGTGTAAAATCCACCTGGTGCAGATTTAAACCTCTAGACCTTCTGGCCAGCAGGCGAGTGTCTAGCCCCATGTTTTGATGTCTACTTTATGAGAGACATATTGAGCAAGGCAGTAATAAAACTGATCTCTTAAGGATCTCTTAATGTTGAGTAAAGAGTTAATGCAACTGACATTTTGATGTCCAATCTATGAGAGACATGTTGAGTAAAGAGTTAATGCAACTGACATTTTGATGTCCAATCTATGAGAGACATGTTGAGTAAAGAGTTAATTTGTACAACTAATGTTTTGATGTCCACTCTGTGACAGACATGTTGTGGTGTGTGGACATATCACATTTGACTCTGTGTCCAATTTCTTGAAAGATTTTCTCCACAAAGACAGGGAGGATGTTGATGTGGAAATTGTATTTCTTCACAAGTAAGTGTTATTTATACTTACATTATTCTGTTCTTTTTTGCCCAAGCCAATATCTCAGATACCGAAGTCATATTTTGTCTTCACAAAATTTGTTAACTGTTTTATTGTTACTGTAACAGGTAAAGAGCCCTTTCTTATATCTGGTGGTGTATTGATAGTTATAGGTTAACTTTTCAGTGTCGGCGTCTAGTTTAGGTGTTGCAAACGCGTTTAGTAGTGTTGGGATATCGGGTTCCATTCCAGCTGCAGGCGATTTGTTTTGCATTAGTTTTCGACAGTGGTACCGAGAGCTGACCACTCAGAAAGCAGTGGCAAACTGCTAAACATGAAATTGGCCTAGATAAACCACAACAGCCAAAAAAAATAAAAAAATGCTAGGGTTGGTTCTGCAATGTCAGTAAAACTTCTAACTTTTCAGTAATAAACAGGTGTAGCATTACATCCTTCTGTCACTATAGACCAGAGGTTCCAAACTTGTGCTCTGCTGAACCTTAAGGGCTCTGCGTGCACTTCCCAGGGACTGCGTGGCCGCTAGTGGAAAATAAATTAATATTGAATGCAATTAAAGACTGAGAAATAAAAAGTATAATCAAAGTTAGCAAACTAAAAGTTACTTTCTGAATGGGAATTTGAAGTTCACGCATCCTCTAGCAGGTAATTCTTGGTCATTCTTCTGCCACAGATTTTCCCCTCAGACGGAAGAATGAATGGCGAAATCAGCATAAGACAGTTTGTTATGAGGTAGATATGGAAGAAGCACTTAGAACACAGTGGGTTAGTGTATCAGCAGGATGGGACACAAAGTGCTCAGTAACTCAAATTCCTTAATTTATTGTCTTGTTGTGCCATTATACGTCATATAAGGCTCGCAGTCTATTTCTCTATTCTCTTCTACCCTGCGCAGTCCTTTTGACATCGTGGATGGAATTCCTTCCAACATCTTTGGCCTGTCTCATTTACATTTGTTTTTGGGTCTCTTTTGGATGTCTTTACTTTTTCAATCCATTTATTTCCCATTGTAGTGCCTACTTTGTGATCATCTGCCTGTTTTTTCTCACAATGTGTCCAATATAGTGCCATTTTCTTTGTCTTATAATTGTTGTTTCCAGTAGTTGCCATGACATTTCTTTTATTTCTTCACCCCTGTTAAATTCATCCAATTTTTTTCAGCGTTTTTCTCAGGCATTAGTAAAGTCTAAACTGTAAGTGAAAATAGTCACATTGAGTGTGTAAAGTGTTAGATCTTCATACATTCTAAGTCACAACATATGAGGTGGAATTACCAGTTTCCTTCCTAGTCACCTTTCCTTCTCAGAAAATTCTAAACTTGATCTAGAACTCCACTTTTTGTGTACAGTATGGTTGACTATTGAGCTAATTGGAGGGGACAATCCAGCCAGTGTTGCAAGCAGAAACCAAGAATTGCATAGTGAATTGCTAAACATTAAAGCAATTAATGGAAGGTTAAAAATGCATAGTGAATTTCACATTATTAAAGGAGTTTACAGAAAATGTACTGTTCTAAAGAAGGTAATAGAAGGCAAAAATAAACAATGAATTGCTCATTTCTAAACGAGTTAACAAAAGGTAAAAATGAATTGAACAGTACTAATGGAATTAATAGAGGGTAAAAATGCATAATGAATTGCTCAGTACTAGTGGAGTTAATGGAAAGTAAAAATGCATCATGAATTGCTCAGTACTAAAGGAGTTAACAAAAGGTAAAAAGATAAAGTAAAAAACCTAGCAACAGAATGAATTGGTCCTTTCTAAAGGAGTTAACCTAAGTAAAAATGCCTGGTGAGTTGTGCCTTACTAAGTGAATGGAAGGTAAATTAGTCTGACTTTTTGCTTTGGAAATACAAGCTTGATGATAGCATCAAGAAATGGACAGAAACAAACAGAAGTGAATAAAATATTGCTTTGGAGATCCATTCCAGCCAACCTTTATTGTGCAGATGGCATCTGATTGATTGATTTGCTTTGGAAAGTATGTAATGACAGTCTTTGAAGAAATGGGCTTATCATTTCATTTTGCACTTAGGCAGTGACATAACTGTCTCACTCTCTCTCAAGGGGTTTACCTGGGCTAGAGTTGGAAGGATTGTTGAAGAGGCACTTCACTCAAGTGGAGTACTTCTGGGGATCTGTGATGGATGCCAATGATCTGGGAAGAGTTAAGGTAAGCTAAATCTGATCCTGCTGTTTATACATTTTCATTACAAAACAGCCTTTGCATAAAGCTTCTTAGTCTTCTTTCTCTGTTTTGTTTGTTTGTTGTTGTGTCTTCAGTAATGCATACCAACAGTAGAGCATTTGCTGTTAGCTGAAATGGTGACAGGAAGAAGGGGTATTGGTTGATCAGCATGAAGATGGGTACAGGAAGTAAGCGACTTCTTGAGTGTGAAAGTGAATGAGAAGGGAGAGCTGGCAAGAGACAGCATTTCTTTTTCAGGCAGATTAGAGCAAGGTTCTGCTAAATAGCTGCTACATGATGATGATGTTAGAAGTCTGTTACATTACCTGCTTATTGTCATTTCTTTACTCTGTAAGTGGTAAATTTGTCCTCTTCTTCTCCTGCCTTTGCTCTCAGAAAAAAGGCAGCACATTTTGTCGTGGTTTACAGCTAGGCTGCAATAATATACACCTTTTGGCTCTTCACATCCAGTTAAGATAATCCCAAATTAGTTGCTTCTTCTTCTGCTTTTGTACCGCTACCGCTGCTGCAGCCATCGCTGTTGCTGGTGTTGCTGCTACTGCCGCTGCTGCTTCAGCTTTTTCTTCGCTTTCTCTTCCTTTTGTCTACTCTTCTTCTTCTGACTGCATTCATTATTTTTTTTTTAAAGCCACTAATGAGTTCTTATGATACAACTGATAGATTTTTAGAGTTTCCGTTTTTAGTTTCACTAGTGAACTAGAAACAGACTATGCTGTATACATTTGTTATAGTTTGTAAAATGTTCATAAAAAGTGAACATTATTTTTATACTGTGACATTTTGTCATCATCAGTTGCTTATGAACACAGTCCCATATTTATATTATGCAAGGTTTAGTTGCAGGCAATTTAGTACAAACTGTTCAGAAGCAATGGCAAACTACTGAACATAACATTAGCTAAAACAAACAAAAAACACCAGGTAGCCTAAAGAATCACATAAAATGCTGGGATTGGCTAGGGACCTACTGTAAGGGGTGTGCAACTAATTTTATTTTTGTTAGTGACGTTTGTCAGATACTTTTGCCTCTTTGTACTGTCAGATTCAGCAAGCAGATGCATGCCTGGTACTGGCAAACAAGTACTGCCAAGATCCTGACCAGGAGGATGCAGCAAATATCATGAGAGTCATCTCTATCAAGAACTATCATTCAGATATAAAAGTTATTGTGCAGCTGTTACAATACCACAATAAGGTAAAGTGTTCAAGAAGTTTGTACTTATGAGTGATCATTTAGGTTATCCAAATACTGGCATCATGAGAGTTAATAGACCCACAGGAAAAAGAAGGCCAGTCAGAGAAATGAATGGAGGTGGGTGATATCTGCAGCAGTGAACCTCAAGGGCTCAGAATGAAGAAGAAGAAATACTTGCCTGACAGCCTAAATGTCTTGATTACAAATTTGCATCATCATCATCATCAATCAGCAGGTCCTTTACACAAGGTTACTCTCTTCATGGCATGCTGAGAAGGCTCTTTTTCTCTAGCTCAGTGGCTTTCAGCCTTCCCAATGCCATGACCCTTTAATGCAGTTCCTCACTTCTGGTGACCTTTAGCCATACAATTATTTTCTTTGCTACTTCATAACTTCAGTGAAGATGTATTTTTCTATGGTTTTAGGCAACCCTTGTATAAAAGGGTCGTTCAACCCCAAAAAGAGTCATGACCCATAGGTTGAGAACCGCTGCTCTAGCTAGTTATTCAGCCTTTTGTGTTTTCGTAGCCAAAGTATCTGCAATGTAATGTATCCACATTTGTGTGGGTAGGCCTCTGCCTCAGTTTCTAGAAACTGCACCCTTCATCACCGTTCTCTCCAGCCACCTTGACATTTAACATGGGTAAAATAGCTTGAGACAGGAGGCTGTTTATGAGCCAGTTCCCCTCAGTGTTAAAATGGTGTAGGATATTAGTGATTTTATTTTTCTTGATCCGTCATATTTGATGAATTTTCTGCAGGATTTCAGTGGAGACAGACTTTGTTTCCACAGTTTATATGGAGACAGACTTTGTGTCCACAGTTTAAATGGAGACAAACTTTGTTTCCACATTTTATATGGAGAAAGACTGTTTCCACTGTTTATATGGAGAAAGACTTTGTTTCCACAGTTTATATGGAGACAGACTTTGTTTCCACAGTTTATATGGAGACAGACTTTATTTCCACATTTTAAATGGAGAAAGACTTTTTCCACAGTTTACATGGAGAAAGACTTTGTTTCCACAGTTTATATAGAGACAGACTTTGTTTCCATAGTTTATATGGAGAAAGACTTTGTTTCCATATTTTATATAGAGATGGACTTTGTTTCCACAGTTTATACGCAGAAAGACATTGTTTCCACATTTTATATGTAGAAAGACTTTGTTTCCACAGTTTATATGGAGAAAGACTTTGTTTCCACATTTTAAATAGAGATGGACTTTGTTTCCACAGTTTATATGGAGAAAGACATTGTTTCCACAGTTTATATGGAGAAAGACTTTGTTTCCACAGTTTACATGGAGAAAGACATTGTTTCCACAGTTTATATGGAGAAAGACTTTGTTTCCACATTTTATATGGAGAAAGACTTTGTTTCCACAGTTTATATGGAGACAGACTTTGTTTCCACATTTTAAACGGAGAAAGACTTTTTCCACAGTTTATATAGAGAAAGACTTTGTTTCCAAAGTTTATATGAGACGGACTTTGTTTCCACAGTTTATATGGAGAAAGACTTTGTTTCCATATTTTATATAGAGATGGACTTTGTTTCCACAGTTTATACGGAGAAAGACATTGTTTCCACATTTTGTATGTAGAAAGACTTTGTTTCCACAGTTTATATGGAGAAAGACTTTGTTTCCACATTTTATATAGAGATGGACTTTGTTTCCACAGTTTATATGGAGAAAAACTTTGTTTCCACAATTTATACGGAGAAAGACATTGTTTCCACAGTTTGTATGGAGACGGACTTTGTTTCCACAGTTTATCGGGAGACAGACTTTGTTTCCACAGTTGACTATGGCTCCCAGGTCAGCTCAGCCTAAAATGTATAACAGGTAATGTCCTCGGAAGTAAAGGTGGCCACCTCAGTGTTGCCCATATCCCCCACTGAGTGTCAATTGGCCTACACAAAAAAATGAGTGTAGCATCATATGCCTCATGTAAAAAGGTTCCTTAACTTTACTTTGCTATTTCAGTTATACTCACGGCACTCCGTATATGTTCTTAGGTGCTTAGATTTCCCCCTTAACATGTACATCAGTAGCCCATGGATAATAATGCTAAACCTATGCTGGTTGACTTCTGGAAAATTCGACCTCAGGGTGCCTTTCAAGTAGCTATTGGGGTCAAAGGAAAAGGCCTCTAAATGCTATTTTTAGTTACTTTATTCATATCTTGGACTGTTAAACATGGCACAGGCACACATTGTTGGCACCTTTCCGTCATTCCAGACAGTAGTTTTATGTGCTGCTAGGGGACATGCGACTTGCAGTCAGTGGCGATGGCGAATGTGACAAGCAAGACCCACCCGCGTTAGGAAAAGTTTTTCGCATGGGATTTCAGGACTGATGTTGCGTTAATTTCTGTTCAGTGTGTTTCTCCTCAAATGCTCAGCTCTAAGACCAGTGGAATTCAACTACGCTTTTCAGGGAAAGATCACTGCAGAAATGGCGATATATCAGCATTTATAGGGCTGGGTCACAACCTAGAGTGACTAGATTTAGCCTTCTTGAAGTGACAAGGTTAAACATATTTGAAAGGGCAAAAATTAATGAGATATTGTATATTAATGTCTAGGTATACTGAAGTCTATCCTATTGACAATTCTTTTTTGCTTTTGCTTTGCTAATGCTTTTTCAGTATTTAGAAATTAGTAACTTTTCACATTGCAGGCCTATTTACTGAACATCCCTAGCTGGGATTGGAAGAGAGGTGATGATGCCGTTTGTGTTGCTGAGCTGAAGCTGGGCTTTATAGCTCAGAGCTGCTTGGCACCAGGATTTTCAACTCTGATGGCCAATCTGTTTACAATGCGCTCGTACAAGCCGGTCAGTAGCACTCGAGTTCATTACGTTTATGATTTGTGTGTGGATATACTGATCATCTGTGTACCAGTTTAGTGTGTTAATGATGATATACAGAGCGTATGTACCAATATAGTTTGTTAATGTTGATGCAGAGAGTTTCTGTACTGATACAGTATGCTACTGTTGATACATAGAATTTCTGTAGTATGTTAGTGATACATAAATTATCTGTGTCAATGTAGTAAAATAATGTTGATAGAGCCTCTGTATCAGTATAGTATATTCATGTTGATACACAGAGCCTCTGTATCAGTATAGTATAATAATGTTGATACACAAGAGTCTCTGGATCAGTATAGTATAATAATGTTGATACACTGAATCTCTGGATCAGTATAGTATAATAATAATGATACACAGAGCCTCTGTATCAGTATAGTATAATAATGTTGATATACAGTCTCTGGATCAGTATAGTAAAATAATGTTGATACACAGAATCTCTGGATCAGTATAGTATAATAATATTGATACACAGAGCCTCTGTATCAGTATAGTATAATAATGTTGATATACAGTCTCTGGATCAGTATAGTATAATAATGTTGATACACAGAGCCTCTGTGTCAGTATAGTATAATAATGTTGATACACAGAGTCTCTGTATCAGTATAGTATAATAATGTTGATATACAGTCTCTGGATCAGTATAGTATAATAATGTTGATACACAGAGCCTCTGTATCAGTATAGTATAATAATGTTAAATTACAGTCTCTGTATCAGTATAATATATTAATGTTATACACAGAGGCTTGGTATCAGTATAGATTGTTAGTGTTTATACTTGGTACACAGAGCATCTTTAGCAGTGTAATATGTTAACAGTGTTTGTGCGTTGAACATGTTCACTAACATCTATGTTAATTTTGAAAAAGTTTGGGGAGGATGGGGTGGGTCTTCTTGGCAAACTTGATCATCGTCGAAGATACCGTGTTCATAAAGTATGCACTGCTCTCGGCAGGCAGCTAGTTGTTCCATAAACAGAGACTGAGCCAGATGGGATCAAACCTGGGCAGTGTAACCAATCCTGTCGACTGAAAAACAACTTTATTGAAAAAGAGAGAATGATATTTAAAAAAATGAAATTTTGGTTAACTCTTTGAGTCCCAAAGAACACATCTTACATTCATAGGTTCCTACATAGAAGCCCAATTAATGCATGATGCGCCGATTTTATGTCTCTCTTTTCTACTCTTTGGGCCTGTGATGCTAAAACCCGCTGGGACTCAAAGAGTTAAAAGGGCATTATTGCTTACAGGAAAGACAGCATGAGAAAAAAGATCCCAATATTAAAGGAGCTAAATCCTGTATTAAATAATTTAACAAAAGAACACTAAGTAAACACTTAGCATAAAAACAAAATATGCAGCCATTTAAAATATTTTATACTGAGGCAAAAACTGAAGAAGCTAAAAGGCTCAGAGACTGAAGTTGTATTTAAACAACAGCATGTTTGAATTCAAGCAGGATGCTAACTTTCACATTATAACAGATAGTTACATCATATATACTGAAAGGTCTGCTGGCTAATTTAGTCATATAAATTCAGCGTCTGCATCTTCAGATGCCATGTTAAAATCTGTGTTAATCTGAGACCATCTCTTCAGTGAAGGTTTGTTGCAATGGATCTCCAACACTCTCTGTCTCTTGCACTCTCTCAGACTGTTGTTCATCCATCTTTTCATGTGATTCTTCTACTTGCATAACTGTCTACCTCTTGCTTTCCTGCATTCAACTTTTCCCTTGATTATATTTCACTCAGTTTATACAAGACTGTGATGTCTTTTAATTTGGCTGAAATATTTTCTATCCTTTTTTTTGTGTGTGTAAAAAAATAAAGCAACTGTTCCTTCATTCTCGTTGTCTTGAAAACCTCTTTTATTTGATTGTTTTGTTGCCATGAAATATTACCTATTCTTTGACTTTTTGACTTTTTCTTCTGATGACGTTTAAAAAAAAAACTTGCTACTTCTCTTCAGGTGCCATGTTAAAATAAATTTGTTACATCTTTTCTGAAGAGATTTAAAAAAAGAAAAAACAAACTTTTTACTTTTCTTTAAGTGCCATGTTGAAATAAACTTCCATTACACTTTTTCAAGTTCTGTGTTGCTAATAAAAAAAAAAAAAGAAACCTTTCAGATGCTATGTAGTAGGCAACCATCAGTCCCTGGAGACCATGGAGCTGAGAATTTGGTTTTGGGAACACAATCTGCTATGACTGTAATGTCCAGTGTGGAAGTGGCAGTTTCTACCACACAGTCCACACAGAATTGTTGTTACTCTGTCGTTCTGAATCTGGTTTTTTTCTCAGATGTCTCCTCTCTATAGCTTGCTGCCTTTGGCCTCTTTCAATCTGTGATAGTCCGTCTTTCACTGTCTGCCTCCAAAGGAGTCGTTCTGCAGCTGACCTCTCCAAAGTGCTGATATCTTTCAGATCATGTTTGCATGTGTCCTTACAGCGTAACTCTTGCTTTCCTGCAGGTCTTATCCCTGTCACCATACAGGAAATCCTTTAGAATGCAGCTGATTTACACATGAGAGATATGTCCTAACCAAAGTAGGTGCCTTTGCTTCAGTAGAAAGTACGTTGTCGGCATTCCTGCTCTTTTGAAAACACATTCATAGAGGTTAAAGTCTTACCATGATACACCAAGAATGCATTTCATACAATGCATGTGGAAGATATTCAGTTTTCTTTTCTTGAAGAGCATACAGAGTTCAGGCTTCACTGTTGTAAAGGAGCATGCTCTATAAACTATAATTTTGGTCCTATCCATGAGCTCTTTGTTTGACCACACTCTTGTTGTGAGTTTGGAAAGCACTACAGAAGTTTTTCTGTGTGTCTTTTCATAATTGTCTCTTCAGTTCTGCATCTATAGGAAGATTTTATGTGATTCAAGAGGTCAGGTATTCAAACAGCTCATGGTCATAAACACTTATGCTTTGTAAATTTACCACATTCATCCCCATTACTTGCATTTTGCTTAGACTGATAGTCTAAATTCTTTGCATGCATTTGCAAAGTGATTCATGAGAATCTGCAGATAATTTTCAGTATGTGCAGTGATTGCTGCATCGTCTGCAAATAGAAAGTTCCTGAGGCATCTTGTCTGTGTCTAAGTCCTTGCATGAAGACTGGGCAGGTTCAAAAGATTGCCATCTGACCTCGTACGGCGATATATTCCTTCAGTGGTTGTCCCAAAAAGCACGCCAAAGCAATGCAGTGGAGAAGATGCCAAACAGTGTGGGAGCTAGAATTCAACCCTGCCTGACACCATTAGGAATCTAAAAGGGTGACGATGACGGTTAATTTCATATTCTAATAGGAAGATTTGATGAGGCACAGTAGTATTGGTGGGTAGCCGTATTTAGCGAGGATTTTGAACAGGCCATCTCTGCTAACATAATGAAAAGCCTTCGTGAGATCTATGAAGGCAAAAAACAGTGACTTCTCTTGCTCCTGCACTTTTCTTGTGGCTGCCTGATAGAGAAGATCATATCTGCTGGTGTTCTCTGAGCTGTAAACCTATACTGTGATTCTGGATGAACATTGTCTTCTAGAACTGACAGTCTCTTCAGGATACACCAGCAAAGATCTTTGCCAACAAAGTCTGACAGAGAGATGTCGCAGTATTTATTACAATTGCTTCTTAGGGTATTAATTTTTCTTGCCATCGTTGACAGAGTATCTTGTGCAGTTCAGGAAGGATAGCTTGCTTTGAGCATTTCAGAATCTTGGGTGGGATACCATCATTGCCTGGGACTCTGCCCAATGGAAGCCCATCCAATGCTTTGCTGATCTCTGTGACAGTAGGCTCAGTGTCTAGTTGACTCATGGTGGACAGACACTCAAGTGCATTCAAAGACTCATCACTCACATAGGTGCTTGTAGAGTAGAGTTCTGAGTGATGCTGGGGTAACCTTTCCATGTCACAGGCCTCCTCATGTTGAATTAGAGTACAGGCTGTTGCCCAGTCAGCAGGTACTCCCTCTCTATGTCGCTGGTGACACCAAGGGAAGGGCTAGTTTTCCTTCTCCTAGGTGAGCTGCACTCCCGTTTTAATGATCCTCACCTGCCCAAAGCATATGGTTATAGCCTCAGCGACCAGCTTTCGCCCCTTCTCCAGTCAGTTATAAAAGCTCCGCGCTGAGAAGGCCAGGAGTTGGACTATTGCTGTCAGAGGCTATAAGAGACACATGTCTTGAGGGTATTTCTTGGAGACTATGAGCTTAACATCAGTCTCTCCCATGGCTTAACAGCATTTGGAACCACAAGTACTATAATGATTTAAATAAACTACCATTACTTTTCTCCACAAGTGACGTGTTGAAATAATTTTTCTATTACTTCTCTTTGAATGCCCTGTCAAAATAAACTGCCATTACATTTCTTCAAATACCATGTTAAAGTAAACTTTCAGTACTATTTTGTTTTGTTTTTTTAGACGCCAGAGATGTCTCAGTGGCAGAGGGATTACATGAGAGGTACAGGGATGGAGATGTACACAGAATATCTGTCCAGTACTTTCAATTCCCTTACTTTTCCTGAGGCAGCAGAGTAAGGATATATAATTTAATGGGTTTTCTCATGACTCATTTAAATCTACTTTAGTGTAGATTTGTTCTTTCTTCAAAATTGACTTTGACTCTCAGGTTGACCCAGTCTAAAATGGGTACCAGATAATATCCTGGGAAGTAAAGATGGCTGATATGATGTTAACTACATCAGCTGTGAACTGCCAATTTTTCTAAGAAAATATAGGTCTATCATTATATGCCCCGCTTGCCTGCAGATCTTAAGGTCCTGAGTTGAAATCTGTATGAAGCCGGATTTTCATACATGACCTTGGCTCCTACGTCAGCCCAGCCTTAAATGGGTTCCAGGTTAATTTCTTGGAAGTAAAGGCAGCCGGCTTGATGTTGACTATTTCGTCAATTTGTCAAGGGAAAATATGAGTCTAGCACTCTATGCCAGATGTGCCACTGGCATGAATAGGGTTCTTCATGGTTCGTTCAATTTTAAATATATGTAAAGGTAGTTCTGCAGTAGATATTGCTGTTGGGCCTTGTAGTCCATGACAGTACGGGCTGGGATTTTCAGTTTTCTTTATTTTTGCAAGTAGATTTCTCAGGTAATTGTTAGAACTTGCACATTAACTGCTAGATTTTAAATGTGCTAAAGCATGTGTAACTTATTAATATTTTTCTACAAAGGTTTTCTATGGTTTTGTTGTTTCACAGATCACAATATATTTTTTATTTTTTTATTTTTATTTTAAAGATGTCTGTCAAATTGTAAACACATTAAAACAGTGTTATTTATCACATTATAAACACATTGTTTGACAGATTATTATCTATTAGGCTTCTTTTTAAGATTGATCTCGGGTCCCATTTTGCTTTAAATATATGGGGGGTGTTGTGCGCGTGCGTGTCTGTGTGTGTGTGTGAGCGTACGTGCCTGTGTGTGTGTAATATAAATATTTCCTGGTATGCTAAAATTATTTCATGGCTTTAAACATCTTTCAGATTATGTTTCACCAAACTGAAACTTCTGTTGCTGGCAATTGAAGTTCGTCAAGAAGAATCAAGGGAGAGCACTCTTGCTATCAATCCAGGTTCAAAAGTCAAAATCGAAAATGCTACTCAGGGTTTCTTTATAGCAGAGTCAGCAGAAGAAGTGAAAAGGTAAATACATGGTAAATCAGATGTTCAACTAGAGCATACATTGACAACTAATATTTTCTTCATCTTCTTATATCATGGAAAGATATAAAACTGAACGAAAAGTAGGTAAGTGAGATTCACAATATAACAAACACAAACGAAAAGTGAATGTTGCAGCTACAGTACCTTCATCAGCACATACATAAATAAAAAAAAAACCACATGAATACACAAAATCACATAACTGACGTACCCCGAAGCAGCCATATTGATGTCTTGCCAGTTTCTAATCATCATTTCTCTTCACAACCTTTTGTTGATCAGATCATGATGCCATACAGTCCAACATCTTCTTTCTTGATCTGTCTCTGCTTCTGTTGCCCTCCAGCTTTCCCCGTGTCATGTAGTCAGTTTTCCCCCTTCTCACGATGTGCCCAATGAATGAAGTTTATCTTCTAATGCAAGTAATAAGTTCTCTTTGTGGGTCTGTTTCATTAAAGACTTCCTCGGTACACTTTTTACATGTCTATAACATTCTCATCATTGCTTCATAAAACCACAGCTTAGATAAGATTTATGGAGAGAGAGAGAGAGTAGTTTCTTAAAGATGATTTTTGTCACATCATGACAAGGCATAAGAACACAAACTGATGCAGACTGTTCATGCAAACTAGATCACTAGATGTGGAGCAGATAAAATCTGTTCCCCCCTTCCCCCTCCAAATAAAAACTGCCAATTACTGTCTTTATTTGCCACTTTTACGGTATAGGCAGGGGTGTCTTTTTGACTGAGGATTGTTTGTTTGTTTTAGTATCCAGAAGCCATGAGTTGTTAACCCTTAGGCTTGGTATTATGGATATTGCAACCTTTCGGCCTTGATTCCATTGTAAATACCGTAAATCTGGGAAAAATGTGGCTTTTCTGAATACCCCCGGGATTGAACCCGGACCACAAGGAGTTCGTCACCCGGTCTCCGCGCAATCCGGTTTAGCCAACTACGCTAGAGACCTGGGCTTTGCCTGAGGATAAACGGCTGCATGGCTGGTTCTGTTGCCACAAACTGTGTAGGTTAGGATTTTTCTCAGGACAAGAAAACATCCATGACCTTACCAAGGATTTGAACCTGTCTCCCGCATGAGAGCCCAGTTTTTTCAACCCTGTGGCCAGCCGCTCCTCATGATCACCCACGCCAGTTAGCAAAGCTGACTGATGATGATTATGATGATATATCAGTGCTTGTCAATGCAAAATGGTAACCACAATATTCATTATCATTCTGTAGCAGGTCCTATGCAGAATGTTGCTTTCATCATGGTACGCCAAAAAACTACATGATCCATTTCCCACTTTCTTACCAAGGGTGTCCCTATGTCCACCGTTAATTTACTAACTATATTATTAGAGGTAATAAGTAACAACTGGTAAGGTGAGCTGAGTTATCACAGTACTTCGGACATTATTTTAAGTGCTCTGTCTCTATCTTCAGCAGCCAGCACAAAGTTCTAGTTCCAATGGTATCAGTTATATTATGTTATCACAATTGACGTCACTGCACATTTGGTATTCCCAACTCAGTTCTCTGGCACAGCAGTTAGCCCCTGGTATCTCTACTGATTGCTCCCATGAGAAATTGTTACGTCTCTTATCTGGACCTCAAATATGGCACCAACCTGCTATATCTCAGGCTTCACTCCAGTAGTAAACAGATAGCAATTTTTTTTAATGTCTGTCTTTTAAGGTTTTAGATTCATGCAGATAAAGTTAATTGTGTATCCTTGACAGGACTTTGCAGAACCAAACTCCAGCATTTTTTGGAAGTATTTGATTTAACTCAGGAGTTTCATGTTAAGCAGTTTACTACCCAGACAACAGCTGATTAAAAAAAAAATGATTATTGCAAGTGATAAATTAGCTCTCCGACACTAGAAATGCTAAGCTCTGCACATACTTTGATTCTTATTAGGCTGCTGATACAAAATAGTTTGTGTGACACTCATGACAGGGTGCTAGCCTTTCTGCAAAGAGAGAAGTCGTTTGGGATAAAAACCAAGTGCAATGAATTCAATCCTCTCATCTTTCAACCTTTATAAACTCCCAGTGTGAGTTCTGGGGCCCGTTTAGTCAAAAGAAGAAAGAATAGACTTACTGTCCCCACAACAAGCCTGACTTAACTCTTTGAGTCCTAAGGAACGCATCATACGTCCATGGCTTTCTACCTAGAAGCCCAATGAACGCATGATGCGCCGATTTTATGACTTTATTTACTACCCCCTGGGCCTGTGATGCTAAACCCCCTGGGAATCAAAGAGTTAAAAGACAACTAATTAGGAATTTGATTGAAATCGGATATGTTGGCTGAAAGGCGCTGATATTGCAGCCTAGCTGTTAACCACAGCCCTTTTTAGAGCAAATGCAGAAGAAACAGAAGAAACTTTTAAACATAACACAGTCTAATTGGTCACATTTGTTGACCCTCAGGGCATTTTATTACTGCAAGCATTGCCACACTGGAGCCACCGATGTGCGGCAGATAAAGAAGTGCAAGTGTAGACCATGTAAGTAGCATTATCTAGTGTATGCTCACGTGTGCAGTAGCTAGTCTGTTTGTGACACCAAAGATCACCATGTCTCAGACATTGGACATGTTCCTTGTGAGAAGACTTGGAAAATATTGCTGTTCATTTTCTGGGCTGTGTTACTGCTTTGAGAGCTAGGTCCTGTCTTTGGTTTGAAAGCTGGTTTTTGTCTTTGGTTTGAAACCTGGTTTATGTCTTTGGTTTGAAAATTAGTCTCTGTCATTTGAATTAGTTTCAGACTTTAGATTAAAACTTAGTCTCTGTCGTTGGTTTGAAACTTGATCTATGCCTTTTGTTTGAAACCTGGTTTTTACCTTTGGTTTGAAACTTGGTCTGTATCCTTGGTTTGAAACATGGCTTATGTCTTTGACTTACGACTTAGTTTCTGTCTATGGTTTCATACCTAGTCTGTCTTTGGATTTAAACATAATCTGTATTTTCACCTGTGTCTTTTTCTCTCACATAAGTATATATTATGAGTAATTGTTTTAGTACTATAAATTTGAAATATATGTAGTTGAAATCAGTTTTAAATTACACAGAATTTTAAATCGGAGAATCAGGCATGTGCACATGTAGACTGGCACCTAAGATAACAGATCACATCCTCCCAAATACAACATATCAAGGCAAAACATTTGGCCAAGAAAAACATCGGTGCAAGTCAAACTTTACGGGTCGAGTGAATTACAAAAGACAGTGAAGCTCATACTAGAGACAACATTGCAGATAAAGATAATCTATTTCAAGCAAACAAAAGAAGAAGAAAAAGAAGTTTTAAATTTTCATAATTTCTTTTATTCTCAAAAGTATTTTATTATAATGTCACCCCCAACAACAAATAGTTTTTTTTATTGCTACTCCATAACTTCAGTGATTTTATGTTTTTCGATGGTCATTGGCGACCCCTGTGAAAGGATCGTTCGACCCACAGGTTGAGAACCACTGCTGTAAAGGGATATGCTGTTAACTTTATTATTTAATAAATCAGTTTTTCTAAGAGTATTATCCCACTTAGGTTTTATGATTTTATTGTCAGTTATTAAAAAAAACAGTCTTCTAAACTGTGCATGTTCATTCTTTCAAACTGAGCCCAGTGCTTATGTTTATTTATATTGAAATTTGTTAATTGCCAACATCTCTGTACACAGAAGGGACCTGCTCTCTTCCACACACCTGTATGCCTTGCTTATGTCACCGGTTTATACCCAACTCCTACCCAGCCACACCTTTGGTTTGTTGGATTACAGTGTGCATTCTGCCACAGTTATTATTATCATTACTGTTTAGGAAATTAGTTTACTTTGATCGATGTAATAAATTGATTATTGATTCAGGAAACCAAATTAAATCAGCATCGATGTAATAAGATAGTTGTTAAATAAAGGACCTTTTGAGCACTGTTATTATTAATCAATTGGTCAGGTTTAGTTGATTTGATAGATCTAATAAATTGAATATTATTACATAAAAACCAGACAGAACCAGCATTCGTGCAAAAGACAAGTGTTCAAGAACCTTGTTATTGTTATCATTTGTGAGGAAATTAGGTCCAGTTTGATAGGTACAATTAATTATTGTTGATTCAGAAAATCAGACAAACCAGCATCTATTATTAATTATAATTTTTGAGGACATTAGTTGACTTTAATAGATCCAATTAATTGTTATTGATTTAGAAAACCAGACAAGATCAAAATGGATGTAATAAGACAGATGATTAATGACCTTATGTTTATGTCTTATTAATATATTCTTGAGGAAGTTAGGTTGAATTTTAGGTTGAATTTGATAGTTGCAGTAAATTATTGTAGATTCAGAGAACCAGCTATGGTATAATAAGATGAACTATATTATGACTGAATGTTGAATTTAGGTAATTGTGTGCAAAGAAACAGCTTTTCACTCACTTCATATTTCTGTGGTTTTGATGGTGTGGATGTTAACCCTTTCGCCATGTGCGAATCTTTAAAAATGAAATATAAAAACTAGAAGAAGAGAAAAAGTTTGGCTTTTTGGACAGTTTTTGTAAACATTTAGGGAATATAAAACTATGTCCCCAAGCAGAAAGACAGGTGTGATGGCTAATGTGACGTCGCGATCGTCAAATCTTTAAAATTATTCATATTAATTTTTAAAATTACCTTTGGGTAAAAAATATTTTTAATTAATTTTTAATTTAGGAAATTAATCACTAAATGCAATTGGAGATTGGTTACAAACAAAGGCAGCTTATCTTGAAAAGTGTTACATTTTTCAACCGGATCAATAATTGTCTTGTGTCTTTCTTGCAGTTGCAAGTTCGATGTGTTCAAATGAGCAAACAAATCATTTAAAAAACAAACATTTGCCAAAAATGCACCCTCACATAATACGTTCCTAGACTTTTCTGGCTTGCCATGAGAACAGTTTCCGAAAAAACATATGATTTCTTCTTTGATACTAAAGAAATTATCAAATATTTTCTCTTTACTCAGCCATTGAACGTCATTGTGCATCTTTGTAATCTGCTTCCGTTTCTTCAAGTAACTGAGGAAATAACCGGTGCTGAAGACTTGATAAGGATCGAATGAAATTTATTATTTTCATCACCATATTCATTGTTTCTTTTATCTCGTCACTCAGTTGGCTGCACAGAGCAGTTTGATGGATAAGACAATGTAGCGACTGCATCTGAGGTGCTACAGAAGAAAGTCTGGTGGTCACACCTTGGTGCTTAACTAACATTGACGGTGTACCGTCCGTTATCAATAAACAAATTTTATTCAAATCAAGTCCATTTTCTGTGAAAAATAACTTAATCTTTTAAAAAATAACTTCTCCAGTGGAACATTTTTTTATGCTATTAAAGCTAGTTCTTCACGAAAAAATTTTCCATAGAAAAAAATACACATATAAATATAACTGAGCCACGTCTATGATGTCTGTAGATTCGTCAATGGCAGCTGACACAAATTCTGCCTGCTTTATGCTTTCAATTAAAGATTTAAAAACTTCAGTTCCTAAAATTTTGATTCTGCATATCGTCGAAGTATCTGACATAGGAATTTGCTGAACTGCATGTTCCAAGTTTGTTTTTATTTTATCATTAACTGCTATTTCGCCCAGAACTGATAGTATGCATTCTTTCATGGTTTTTGAGTCAGTGAAGGCCGCTTATTTTTGGCTAATATCCACAAAATTTTTCTTGTTGAGTACAAGCTAGCACAAGAATTCCATTTCTATGATGATAAGCACTCAACCTATAATTTCCTAGCAGTGAAACCTTTTGGATATGATTTTCCAAAATCAGCATGTTTCGTTGGAGAGTACGGCTTCACGTTGTACTCCTTTACTGCCGACACACATTCATTGTATAGCAACCACATTGGTTTCGAATTAGGCATAGTTGGTGATATAAATAAATATTTAAGCGCCCAGTGATTGTTTAATGCAGATCATTCCCACTTTGCTTTCTTACTAGTACCAGCCATGGCATCAAGTATTTAACTAAATTATTAAAATTTAGATAACTTCAAACACTGTTACTGTTTCAGTTTGTTACTACACAGTCGTGTAGGGCAATCCACTTCTGGTTGTGACCGGCACACTGGACATTCACGAAAAATCTGATTATAATCTGATAACAAGATCACTAGCAGGTGTTTTGCGATGTCCAGTGTCACTAATGTTCTGCAGCATCCATTGTCATTAGTATTAGTGTACTAGTGGTCACCATTAAGGAGAGTTTTTCTGTAATCTAAGTGCTAAATATCTGTACCCGGCTGGTATTTTCATACGCCTCATGTCCAGTAAATATCTCACCTGTATTGACTGTTCAGTGGAGCAATTGCTCCTTACCAGTTACTTGATTCTTTCCAGCCTATCTTATTACCTTTGGCCCCACACAGATGAGTTTTACCATGAACTAATTACATTTCCATGCCTGAGGCATTATTGCAGTTGTCTGTTCATACGCCCGTCTTCGTGTATCTTTGCATTTAGAGATCCCTGACAAACATTTCCTATTGTCACATTCGACACAGCTGGTTTTTGAAGATTTATACAGAAACAATGAATGATTAAAAAAAATTTTTTCAGTGGCAACGATTGGCGGGCCACTCACTAGGCCCGCAGGGCCACCAGTCGAATAGCCCTGATATATAGTATCCATTGTTTTGTCAATAATAATTTTGCTATTTTATGTACCAGATAATTATTTCATTCAGTCATTTGTTTAGTTTTTAATGACATTTTTTTTTAACTTCAGTCTGGTCACATCTTCTGGGCCTTTATTAGATTGGGTGCTTTACAATCAGTATTTCAATAATATTTGTTTATTTGTGATTTTAAAAAGTTGATTTATTATTAATGAATTTATTCCTTTGCAGAGTTGTTTAAAATTACTGTGTTTATCATAAAGTAAAAAGGTGCTTTAGTCTTTAATTCTTTTTATTGTCTTTCATTGTAAACAATTAGAAATTTCTTAGCTTGCATTATTATTATTTTTCTTTCCCATTCTCAAGTGGCAATGTTCAAGAAGGGAGCAGCAGCAGTGCTAGGTAGCTCTCTGCTGTATTTTTATGTGTCTAACCTGTGGGTAGATTGGGCTAATTGTTATAACTTGCTTGCTTTTGCCTTTTTTCCTCCCACTATTCTGATACATTGTGGCCAATCTAACAGCTTATAACGAATGATGTTACATGTGTCTTTGATTTCTAGTGCTAAACTGTACAGTAATCATTCTATTCTGTGTTAGTTTGTCTAGTATATTTTGAAGTGAGTTGTCACCAGTTTAACATCACCATGAACCAAAGGTTTAGTATCACATTTGTCAGGTCATTATGTTTACTAATCTGATTATGGCTTCTGGATATTATTTCAACCGTGGTATGGATCCAAATCACAGATTGAAAGATTAAAATACTGCAACAGTCATTATGTTTACTAATCTGATTATGGCTTCTGGATATTATTTCTACAATGGTATGGAAACAATT